TGCTGTCTCTCTCTCTCACACACACACACACACACACACACACACACACACACACATTCAGCTGCTGTCTCTCAGGCTGTGGCACATCCACATGTATCTCGCAGCAAGTGCTGCTGTCTGTCTCTCTCCTAATACTATCTTTATTTGTTCTGTTTCACTGATGGCTGTAAAGGTCTTTATTAAGTTGGTGAATTTGTTGAAGTAGAGGTTTCTTATGGATCTGTATTTATGACGGAGGAGGTCTCTGTCTCGATCTCTCCTGTCTCACAGTGAGCACACACTCTCTGCTCTCTGGGTAAGCAGCTCTTTCTGTGTCTGCCGGTCTCGATGGCTAGACTGTGCTCACTGAGCCTGTACTTGGTCAGGATCCATCTCTGCTTTGTGTCTCTGACACTCTGGAGATAATCTTCCAATTCATAATTTGATTTTAGAGTTCGATAGAATTGTAATTTACTTTGTGTTTTAGTTTCCTGATCCCAATGTTCCAGATATGTATTTTTAGATAGTTTGATAATTTTATTTATTTTGATGTTCGGGTGAGAAGCAGTGCTGGTTTGAGACTGGTTAGTGTTAGTAGAGTTAGTCAGGTTAGTAAGTCTCAGAACTAGCTGACTGAGTGGACTCTTTTCGGGGTTCAGTTCTTGGGTTTGAATTGCTTTAAAATGTAGTGATTCTGTGGGACTTGATTTAAGATGCATCCAGAATTTGAGGGATCTTTTATGCATATTGATAATCAATGGGAATCAGCCTAATTCTGCCCTGCATGCATTATTGGGGGTTTTTCTTTGTAGTTTTATAATCATTTTGCAGAATTCTGTGTGTATGGCTTCTGTTGGATGTCGGTCCCATCTAGTGTAGCTCTGATCACTGAGTGGACCCCAAACCTCACTTCCATACAGCGCTATGGGCTGAATCACACTATCAAAGATTTTACACCAAATTGGAAGCGGTATTTCAATATTTTTGAATGTTTTTCTTGATTGCGTATAGAGCTCTTTGAGCTTTATCTTTGAGAGCATTCACTGCCAAACTGAAACTCCCCGATGCAGTGATGATCAGGCCGAGGTAGCCTAAGTGTACTGCATGGTGTGTTCTAGGGCAGTGCTGCCTAGACTGAACTGGTATCTGTGTTCCTGGCATCTAGGCTTTTTCTGAAAGACCATAATGTTGGTCTTTTTGAGGTTTACTGCCAGGGCCCAGTTCTGGCAACAGTTGTCCAGCAGGTCCAGGTGCTGCTGTGGTCCCTGTGGGGTCACTCTCTCTCTCTCTCTCTATAGAACAGAATATTCAACTGTAATGTTCCCATAATGTTTGGGAAATTATAAATTTACAAAACTGGATGTTTTGAACGTTCAAAGAGCATTCAGAAATAATGTTTTAATAACCTAATGGAAATGTTAGCAAAATGTTCTTGGAACATAGATTTGTTAGCTGGGAAGCAGGTTGTATATTCAAAACAGCACCAGAAGAGGGAGACAGAAAATTTGCGTGAAAACTTTGCAAGCTCAGCATTTCTATTAAAATGCAAACATTCCTTCAAATGCCTCCATCTTGTAAAAGTACCACCAATGTTTACCCTTGTTTTACCCCATTTTCTGTCTCTGTGTATTCTGGCAAGTCATTCTAATTTTTGCATGCACTTCTGTAAAGCAAAACATATATTCTGTTCCCAAGATTTTTTTACCTAAAAATCTTACAAAAGTCACACTTTCCAAAACGAATTGACAACAGATTATGAAATCTTTATTTCTAGATTTATGAAATAGTTTCCACTCTAAAAAATGCCAAGCAAAATATATATTTTTTATATATATTGTTTTAGTTTGACCCACAAGAAACTTTCATCAAATAAAATACTAAAATGTACATTGTAGTAAATATTTTATTTTGGACAGAATTGTCCATTTATATGGCTTGAGATCCTCATAATGAATAATCTGATCATTGTTGAATCACAATCATTACGTAGAACAACCTTTACTCCCATTTAAGGAGTTCTGGTTTAAATTTCATTCTGCATTTAAACTAAAAGCAGCATAAAGTATCATACAAACAGAAATATTAAAATATTTTGCAGTGTACCTGCCAAGAATAATGCATATAATGCATAAGCATGAGTATTTTTGAAAACAAAAATATAAAAATGTTCTTTTGAGCAAGAAATATAATTCCAAAAGAAGAAAATAATGAAGATAAATGCTACGTTAAGGCATTATAGTTCAACATTTTCAGAAATCTTGAACTCTAAGGTTTTTGAAGTCTTCTTTATGTTCAGTCTTTCAGTCAGTCACAGTTTTTGTTCTTGATCCTCATGTGATGTTCATTCTTCAGAGCATAACGCTGCTACATCCTCTGTGTGATCAGGAAAAAGACGCAGGATGTCACGGGAATATTTGGAGTAGCCGTCATAGGAAAGTAAAACTCTTTTGAGGGTGATGAAAGACACGGCCCTCTCCAGAAGATCTGAGGTGTGGATGCCGTTCTGAAGATACTCTCCAAGAGCACACTTGAGCTTCTCCAAACTGTTGCCACACTTTCTCTCCAAACACGTAAGAACACATCTGAAAACAACACCACAATCACATCAGTTGATGTGCATTTAAAATATTAAAATCAGATAAAATACTGATGCTTTTGTTTGAAGCACTTTATGCATCTATCTGCTCCTGAAGTTCTTCTTACCTTGCATGTTGCACATGTTGGGTCTTGATGCTGCTCTGGAAAGACATGTCCATGTAGGTCACCATGACTGATACTGATTCCTGTTGGTCTGAGTGTTGAAGTTCAAGCTCAGTTTTGACTGAAGGGTTTTCAGTGTGAAATGTTCCTCACAGGAGTTGGTGTCTCATGGATCTTTCATCTTCAGCTTCCATTTATACTCACATCTCTCTCCTCTCAGCCAATCAGAGGCCTTTTGAACAATAGTGTGTTGATGAGTGAATTGGTGGGATGTTCTCGTCACTGCCATCTGCTACTAAGGTCACTTATATTCATCTTTATGAATGTGGGGATGCAGGACATTTTAAGGTTTTTTTCAGGATATTGAACACTGATATTCTAACTCCAAAATGAAAATAACAGAATTAAATGTTTTATTTAAAAAATATCTAATAAGTTTAATAAGTCAACAAATCTTCAGCATCAGAGGCGTGAGAAAGCTTGTAGGGAATCTGCTTAATCTGTGCTTTAAACAAAGCAGTGTTTTAGTTTGCATTCCATAGTTTAATATCAAACTAAAATATTGCAATATTTTATTTTATGTAAAACTGTATATAATATCCATTTAAGTCATGTCAAATCAACAAAATGAATGAAAATAATCAATAAAAATCGAACTGTTCAAATATTTTGTTCTTTTTTATTTAAAAAAATTTTTTTTAATACATATGCATTTTTTATGTGGATTTGCATGAAGATTAACATTTCAAGTCTTTTCACACAAGTGCAGATATTTAGTGTTATATTCAGCGTTATCTTTGCTGCGATGACATCTCTCACACACGATGGGCTCCAGAGTAATTCAGATCACAAAGTATAAGAATGCCATGACTTTGATGTCATGAGATGCTTCAGTTCACAGTGATGTACATGTACTCACTGACTCCATGTGTTTCTAGTGATGAGTGTGTGCTGCTTCAGTGACATTGATGTGAACATGAGCTCTCTACGGGTCAACACTTTCCCAGATTCACCCTCCAGCTGCTCCTTTGAGCCCCTGATGGAGGATCATTGAGCATGTGGGGGTCCACACCCCTCATTGTCTGTTTGAGCTCTTCCATTGGCTACAAACTGTGAGAAACTCCAACAAGCTCACGCCTCACACATTCATATGGAGATTTGGGAGTATAAATAGAGGAGCTGCAGCCAGTGCAAAAATCTGTGCTTTAAACAAAGCAGTGTTTTAGTTTGCATTCCATAGTTTAATATCAAACTAAAATATTGCAATATTTTATTTTATGTAAAACTGTATACAATATCCATTTAAGTCATGTCAAATCAACAAAATGAATGAAAATAATCAATAAAAATCGAACTGTTCAAATATTTTGTTCTTTTTTATTTAAAAAAAATTTTTTTAATACATATGCATTTTTTATGTGGATTTGCATGAAGATTAACATTTCAAGTCTTTTCACACAAGTGCAGATATTTAGTGTTATATTCAGCGTTATCTTTGCTGCGATGACATCTCTCACACATGATGGGCTCCAGAGTAATTCAGATCACAAAGTATAAGAATGCCATGACTTTGATGTCATGAGATGCTTCAGTTCACAGTGATGTACATGTGCTCACTGACTCCATGTGTTTCTAGTGATGAGTGTGTGCTGCTTCAGTGACATTGATGTGAACATGAGCTCTCTACGGGTCAACACTTTCCCAGATTCACCCTCCAGCTGCTCCTTTGAGCCCCTGATGGAGGATCATTGAGCATGTGGGGGTCCACTCCCCTCATTGTCTGTTTGAGCTCTTCCATTGGCTACAAACTGTGAGAAACTCCAACAAGCTCACGCCTCACACATTCATATGGAGATTTGGGAGTATAAATAGAGGAGCTGCAGCCAGTGCAAATCAGACTCACTCTGAACAGAGAGATCTACAGCACAGAGATCCAGACATGACACCTACAATCATCTCAAAGGAGCAGCTCCCTCTCAACAACAAGGTACAGTCATATCCTACTTACAGCAGCATTACTGCAGCAGCTTTCACTGCTCTTCTCAATCATTGGCTTATTTGAAAGACACTTTCCCAATGCTTTTCTGTCTTCATTTGCAGCTGAGAAAGCCAAGGGTGGAGAACATGCTCAGAGATTGTGTCAACTCAAGCTCAAGTGTCTTCTGGCTCCAGAGTTCCTCAAGCAGCAGCCTGATACCAAGCTGGAGAAAGCAGATATCCTGGAGATGATGCTCAACTTCCTGCAACACCAGTTCACATGCTGTCAATCAATGCTTCTCCAGGTGTGTCGTGAGATTGTGCACTTCCTGTCCGAAGATGAGATGAAGACAGAGAGCCAGAGAAGACTGCTGAAGCACTTCCAGTAGCTGCAGACTTCATGTGAGCAGAACAGGAGGGAAAGTGTCCTGCCAGACCAGAACACCTTCAGCAAAGAGATGAATGTCAACATGAGCTCCATCTGGAGGCCTTGGTAGAGCCTTAAAGACTCAGACTGAACATCTGCACTAGACTCAGTGAACTATTATGCTTTCAGTTTTTCTTTTTGAGAAAAAGTGTTTCATGAGTTCCAGTTTGGAAGAGATATTTGTACTGCTAAGTGCTCTGATGATTCGATCTTCTATGAAGACTTAATGTTGAGTTCCAGATGGGAACATCTACTGACGTCTATATTAGACACTGACTTTAAGATACATCTGCATGTGATGTGAAAGAAACATTGTCTTTATTTTAAAGGCCATTTATTATCTGATAACTTCTCAGATACTAATGCTTTGTTCTAAAAGCAGAAAAAGAGTGAATTTCTTGATATTAATATGATGGCAAGAATCTTGCTCCATTATTAGTTCTGTACTGTTTACATAAAATGGCTCAAAATGGGCTCATATTTGATTTAATCTGAGATGATAATCATTCATAGACTATGATTCATATTTGATGTTTTTCTCTTTGGTCTGTAATAGATCAGATTCAGATTTAACCTGTTTTAAGGGTTTGTAAACATTTGTTGGTTCTCAACGTTCTCTGAATCTTTCCTGTACTGTATACAGCTGTCATTGTTCCTTCCGTGAAGGTTTATATTCTCATGACAAACTTTGTCATCTTGTCATTTGTCTTTTTAATTGATCATGTGATCATTTTTGTCCTTCCGTGAAGGTGACTGACGTTTTAAAAGTCTAAAGAGGTTCAGTGAATGTATTTCTTCTGTGAAATAAAACAATCAACTGAATGTCTTACGTATTCTGTGGTTTTTAATACCATCGTATCCTGAATCCCCATCCCATTTTCCACGTTTTTCCCACAAAAACTCATCCAAAAATACATGCCAATGGCAATAGTCACACTCAGTAATCACAATCATTCCTTCAACACTCTTTCACATAACATTTTACTCTCAGACACAATTTCTCTATCAAGAAAACTGTATACTGAATATACAGTTACTGTATTCTGAAGGTTTTAAAGGCACTCATTAACCTGTATCACAGATCTTGACTAATTAATTAGTCCATAAGTAGGATGTATATCGCAAACAACACCAGAAGAGGTGCTGTATTCCTTACAACTTCATCAGCAAGGTGCAAGTGTCCCTTGGATATTGCTAAGCATTGGTATATTTTTATAAACACACACATAAGTCAATATTGTGGTTGAAAAATACTCACCAAAGACTTTTGATATACCAAGACGGTCCACTTATGTAATACTGGGGAGAATGGGAGAACGTATTACCCGAAACTGCGGAATGGCGCCAACTGCTAAAGTCATTGAGTCAGTTGCATTAGAAGCTCTGATTGCCATAGAATCAGTCAGCACTCTTAATTAATGCTGGAACCTGAAATCATTTTTCTCGCTCTCTTGGGGTACGCAAACTCCTGATCGGGAATCACTGACTTAAAATGCATTTCAGCAAAGTGTTCAAAACATTTATTGTTTTAACTGAGAGCAGAAACACAAAATATATTCATGGGATGTATAGGAATGTATTGATGTAAGTAAATGTAAATTTGGTCTCCTCTTTTAAAACAAAAGCTAAATGTGGTAATCTGACCGGTTATGGAGCAGGAAACCTTCATAATGCACATCAAATAAGACACTGAATGGAAATTGCAGTAAAAAAACAACTTTTATTTTCAATCTTTTGAAGTCATTATCCAGTATCTGGCTTGAGATAATTGTTGCATCACAACAGAACAACATTTACTCCAATTAAAGGAGTTTTGGTTTAAATCTCTTCATGCATTTTTAAACAAAAAGCAGCATAAAGTATCATTCACTTACAAACACTACTATTAAAAAATATATTGCAGTGTAATAATTATGAATATAATGCATAAAACCGAGCATTTGTGAAAACACAAATATAAAAACATTCTTTCGAGCAAGAAATAAATGTAAATGTAAAAATCATTAAGGCACAAAGTTATAAATACAAAGTTAAAGGCACTATAGTGAGAGATTTTCAAAAAAGATGAAGTCTTCTTTATGTTCAGTCTTTCTCATAAGAGTCATTTATGTGAGTTTTTGTTCTTGATCCTCATGTGATGTTCATTCTTCAGAGCATAACGCTGCTACATCCTCTGTGTGATCAGGAAAAAGACGCAGGATGTCACGGGAATATTTGGAGTAGCCGTCATAGGAAAGTAAAACTCTTTTGAGGGTGATGAAAGACACGGCCCTCTCCAGAAGATCTGAGGTGTGGACGCCGTTCTGAAGATACTCTCCAAGAGCACACTTGAGCTTCTCCAAACTGTTGCCACACTTTCTCTCCAAACACGTAAGAACACATCTGAAAACAACACCACAATCACGTCAGTTGATGTGCATTTAAAATATTAAAATCAGATAAAATACTGATGCTTTTGTTTGAAGCTCTTTATGCATCTATCTGTTCCTGAAGTTCTTCTTACCTTGCATGTTGCACATGTTGGGTCTTGATGCTGCTCTGGAAAGACATGTCCATGTAGGTCACCATGACTGATACTGATTCCTGTTGGTCTGAGTGTTGAAGTTCAAGCTCAGTTTTGACTGAAGGGTTTTCAGTGTGAAATGTTCCTCACAGGAGTTGGTGTCTCATGGATCTTTCATCTTCAGCTTCCATTTATACTCACATCTCTCTCCTCTCAGCCAATCAGAGGCCTCCGAATTTTGAACAATAGTGTGTTGATGAGTGAATTGATGGGATGTTCTCGTCACTGCCATCTGCTACTAAGGTCACTTATATTCATCTTTATGAATGTGGGGATGCAGGACATTTCAAGTTCCCACAAGATGGTCTATTCAAGAATTTTGCAGTTACAGCTATTGGGAATTAGTAAACAGGACACAGTACATATGCTCTAAAAAAAATTCTTAAGACAATGAGAAATGTAAAGAATTACACATTTCAGCACGGGTTCAGTTTCCATCTTTATAGTCCGTATACTGAATTTTAAAGACATAAATGTCAAAAGCAAAATACATTTCCAGTTTAGGTTTAAAGGAATAATTCTTACAAAAACTGGCTGAAAATATATTCACCCTCAAGCCACCCAAGATGTAGATTAGTTCACTTCTTCATCAGATTTGGAGAAATGTAGCATTACATCACTTGCTCACCAGTGGATCTTCTGAAGTGAATGGGAGCCATCAGAATGAAAGTCTAAATGATAAAAACATCACAATAATCCACACGTCTCCAGTCCATCAGTTAAAGTCTGACGAAGTCAAAAGCTGTGTGTTTGTAAGAAGCAAAACCATTTAACTGTAAACTGTCACTTGTGGACAAAATATGAGTCCATAATCCATAATATCGCTTCCTCCAGTGAAAAGTGTCCATCCCCTGTTGTTCTCTCACAGCAAAATCCACCAACAAATTTGTTTAGATTTGTTTTGTAAATGGCGCTTGATCTGTGCATATTTCTCTCCTAATTCAGACAAGACAGCTTTTTTCTTTTTTCTTTTTTACTGGAGGAAGCGATATTACGGATTATGGACTTGTATTGTTGCCGGAAGCAACAGTTTGAAGTTAAAAATGTCTTAATGGATTTGCTTCTTACAAACATGCAACTTTTTGCTTCACTACACATTAATTAAAGGACTGGAGTTGTGTGTATTACTTGTGGATTATTGTGGTGTTTTATCAGCTCATGCATGTATGTAAATATCCATAAGTGTGTGTTTGTCAAATCTGGTGCTTGTGTTGGGGTTTAGGATGCTAATGACACTAGAACTGTGACTCTCCAGAGTTTCCCACACACACACAACAATAGAAGTGTGTCTATTCACATGATAATTAGATGGACAAATAGGCCTACTATTAAAACATCGAAGGTTGCTTTCAAATGCTTTCCCTGATTCATTTAATTGAAATCATGTGAAGCATGTCTGTGCAGTTATTTTAATTTTTTTTAATCAAACCAAATCTTGCAGTCTTGCAGATTTTTTAAACAAAGTATATTTTTAACTTTACACAAACAATTATTTCAGCCTATCATCATAAAAGCTTCTGTGTGACACACAGCAAAGATGTCAGTGTTTGAGAGCTATGTTAGTCCTGTGGGACGCCGTGTGTCTCTGTGGCTCCACCAGCTCCAGGAGCATTGGGGCGTGTGATCGGGGTCCACATTATGCCGTGAACCGCTGTCTGTGTGTGTGTGTGTGTGTGTGTGTCTGTGTGAAACACAAACCTGAGAACAGGTAGCCTACAACCACTGATCTACAGAACAGAATATCCTGTTACATATAATACTGCATCATTACAGCATTTTAACTGATTTTAAACTGTAGCCGCATGTGCTGATTTTATTCATGAACAATTAAACTGTCAGAGAGTCATATGGAAATTTACAGCTAAAAGAAGTTATACATTTAAAGTCTTTTAAAAATGTCATTGCTTTGCACGTTTTTAAAATGAACACTGTTGTGTTGTTTTACTATATAGGCATAAAATGTTCTTTTATATTAAAGGGGTCATATGATGCGATTTCAATTTTTCCTTTCTCTTTGGAGTGTTAGGCATTTCCGTCACACGCTTGAGGTATTCGACCAATCACAAGGCACTGGATAGCTGGCCAATCAGAGCACACCTCGCTTTTCAGACCAATGAGCTTTGTAAAAATCGACGCGTTTCAGAAAGGCAGGGCATAGAGGAGAAACAATAATGTACAGTATGTGGAAAATATTGTGTTTTTTTAACCTCAAACCGCTTAAACATATTTCATTTCACCAAATTCACAAAATAATGTTCTTTTTAGCAGCATCATATGACCCCTTTAAAGCTGCAGTCCATAACTTTTGCCTATTGTCGCCATCTCTGTTTGAAAAATTGGAATTGCAGCTGTGTGCGGAATTATCTAGCTTGCGTGGGTTGTGCGGCGGCACGGCTCCAGCGCGGATGAATCTAATGTTCTGAAGAGCATGTGTGGCAGTCAGTCACCGCATTTACTGTACTTCGCAATCACAGATTCTAGCCTATGTCTTGGAATATGACCCAAATAAGAATTTTCACTAGATATTGCCATCTGAACAAGTAAGTAACAAGTCTGCCACGTTTATTGTTCTGACCAACTGAGGAAAAAAGCATTACCATAGCCTAAATCTCACTACCAACGGTAATTCAATCTAAAGACCGGTTAGCTCATATTAACTGTAAAATATTACATCAAACCATTCAAATTATTATTATTGTTATACTTTATTCTCAAATGATTAATGTTAACAACATCAGCATTGGTGACTATGAGTAGGCCTATAGTGTGTATTAGTGTGTTGATTTCAATTTCTGCAAAGTCTAATTGTCATACTCTTCGAATTTCATTTTAAGAAATTCCTTGAACTCAAAAAGCAAATTATGCTCCCTTCTAACTGATTTTCTTTCAAATACAAATCGTTGTAA